GTCCGAGCTAACTCCGTAGGGCCGATGGAGAAGATTGGTCAGTAAAGTGGCCGATCATTTCACTGTGCCAGCTGAAGTCAGAAAATCATCTAAGCATAAAGAACCACCGTGTTGAATCCGGGTGAGACCTTTCCTCCCTCTCTCTGTCCTGAACTATTTTTCCTGCAAAGACCTTGCTTTTTGGATGACTTCCCTGTTCTAAGAAAGCGGCGTCTGTCTGTTTGGTGGGAAAAAATACTTCAAACAAAACTACAGAGTAGCACTTATTATATTTTGAACCTTTTGGATATTGGACATCCCTGGAAAGATTTGTAATTTAGAGCATTATTTTACTTACTATACTGAAGATATTTGCTTTTTTCTGTCTCTTTATTTGTCATTCTTAATGAGAAATTCTTTTAACGTGCAAAGAAAAAACCTTTTATAGCTTACTGAGGACATCTTGTGGCAAAAATATTTACTGCAATTTTAATCTCTTTGTTTTGGTGTTTGGAGATGTTTTTGGAATTGTTTCCTTTAGGAATTAACAAGAAGAAAAGATAAAGGCTTGGAAACAGCTGTGGGTTGTGTTTGTGATTTAAAAATTGTGGAGGCAGATGTATATGGACTCTTAATAAATATAGTTTCCATAAAAAGATTAAAAGACTCTCTTACTATGGAAATAGAAGACTTTTACTCACAGCTTGACTATGAGCTGATATTGGAAAAAATATTGGAAATGACAGAGGAGATGAAATCATGGAGAAAAACTAAAGGTTATTTTGTAGAACCACAAGCTGAGCCTCAAACTTTAAAAGATCAACCTATAGGCCAAGAAGAAGCCTATATGCAACAGTATACACAATCTGAGATGGAAGAAGTTACTGATCAATTGAATTCTGGACTGGATTATGAATTGATATTGGAAAAAATGTTGGAAATGACAGAGGAGATGAAGTCATGGAGAAAAACTAAAGACCATCTTCTAGAATCACAAGCTGAGCCCCAAATTTTAAAAGACCAATCTACAGGCCAAGAAGAAGCTTATATGCAACAGTGTACACAATTTGAGATGGAAGAACTCACTGATCAATTGAACTTTAGAAAAATTCTGGACCCAAAATCCCAGATTGAGACCTTAAATAACTACTATAAATCAACTACTATAAATAACTAACTATAAATCAATTAACTACTACAGAGGAGAATATTTCACAAGTCTATGTACAAACGGAGAACTTTGAAGATAAAAAAATGACTATAAGTGAAGTTCTCCCATTGCTAAAATTAACAGGAATTGACAGCCAGATGTGATTGATTGAAAGTTATGACAAACTGGATAATCAAGCTAAAATTACAATATGGAATAAAATGGACTATATTGCTTACATGATACTGGAAGAAGGGGAAGAGAATTTTGATTATATTGATTTGTTTATAAACATTAGTACTCAAATACTGAGATTTGATGACATAGATGTGACATTACGGAAACCAGCTTGGTATAGAAAAAAAGCCAGAGTTAGATTTAAAAATGTGATTTAAAATCTTAATTATCGGGTGAAAAAGGCTTTAGAGATTTGGACTGATTTGACAATCTAATTGAGTAAATGAAAGCAGTAAGATAATAACTGGTGTAATAATATGTTTGTCTTAGATACGATAGTTAATTTGGTTGAGAGTTAAATTTTACTTAACAGGTCGAAATGATTCTTTTTTGTTTTGTTTTTTTACTTTGTTTATATAGAAAACTATTTTGTAATAGCAGAAGAATTAGAGAGATCTATGATAAGAGAAGAAAGGGTATTAATTAATGATGTATTAAATTAAGAGATGGAATATATGTGAAAATATTAGAATGTTATTTTTGGAATTTTTTTGTGTGTTGTAGAAGAGATACCCAAAATTTTATTAATATGTTTGTTTAAGATCAATTGGAATATTTTAATTGAAATTAGTGGAGCTTAAAAGCAGGAGTGATTTTTGTAGATGTAATAGTAGGGATGGTTCTGTGGACTGATTGAATTTTAAGAAGAAATACATTAAACTAAATTTGTTATATCATGTGAGGAAATAGAGGGGGGAATTTTTAAGGTATTAATTTTAATTATATATATATGACTTGTTTTGCTATGATTAATTACCCTTTCACCACGGTGTTTTCCTTAGCACTTTGATGTTAAAATTAAAAAAAAAACAATAAAATGTGTATAAAAAATATATCAGTGTATAATGTTATCTCAGCCTTCTGATCTAACCCTGAAAATGTATGTATGCATGTATTAAAACAATCTGTATAGCAGTCCATCTCATGAAGGTAACATTGTACAGAGATTAAAACTACTTCCCCAAAACAATAGCAGAGAATATAAAATAAATCTAAAACTCTCATGCCACAATGCAGTGTTTCTTAAACTTTTTTTCCCTCTCAGAACTCCTTTTGACTTTAAAAATTATGGACTCCAAAAGCCTCCATAATTTTTTAATATTTACATATTAAAAATTAAAATTGGTTCATTCACTAATGCAACTGCTTCTCACAATTGTTTGATGAGATTTTAATACTGTATTATTTTTCAACATAGACTGGCAAATAATTTTGATTTTGAGAACCCCTGAAAGAGTATTGAGGGATCCCCTGGGATCCCAAGGCTACACTTTAAGAAAAACTGCTATAATGCATGCTTGGGACTGAGGAGCAGTTCTCTTTCTAAGACAAAAAATTATATACTTAACCGCTGGTCCAAAGCCTGTGTGAACACTGAGGTCTTTAATGCCTTGTGAATGGGCAGTAGAGTCACTGATATTTGGATCTCCAAAAAGATGCTGTTGCACATGGCAAGCACAGCAACAGAGAAGGCACAATTCCTGAGGTTCACCAGCTGATGTTGTTTGAAAGATAGAATGTGGATAGATGAAAACAGCAGAGCTCATGGACCTTAGATGTTTTTTCTAGAGACCAGAAACTCACAAAAATGTTTCTGTGTACATGAGTGTATAAAGCAGAAGAAATACTTAACTCATTATTAAATTTTACCCATTATTAAATTCAATGTTTTTAGCTAAGTATGTTTTTCATATACTATATTGCATATGGAAACAAATATTTTGTACAGCTTCTTAAATGATGAACCAATAATAAATTCCAATAAATCTAGTTTATATTTGTCTTGGCTCAGAGAGGCCAGGGCAGTTCAAGACAGTATGAGAATAACTAATCCAACTGATTCTCAGTCTCTATAATCCAAATCTGGCATCTTGACTATGACACTGAACTGGCTTTTGGTGATTAAAAAGTTTCTCCTTTTTCTCCTTTTCTTTTAGAATGAGAGAACAAAACAAAATTATGCAAAATGACTTCATTACAACTTCAGAGTTTTCATCAATGCTTTTTGCTTGATGACCTTAATTTTTCATTAAAAGGACTGTGTAAGAACACCTTTACTTGGTTATGAAGAGTATGAGACATTTTAAAATGTTTGACTGCAGCAAGTTACTATTTTGACAGAACATGCATCCAGCCCATATTACATGGGACATTATAATGGACTTATTTATTCTATTAGTTGATTATCCTAGGAAATTAGACTTGAATTATCCTACCTTTCATTTGTTTACAACTTCAAAGAATGAATCAGACACTGGGTATTTACTAGTCCAGACAGGATCACATACGCTTGCTCAATTTTTCTTTCATCCCAAGACATGATTGTTTAAGCAAGAGCAGGGTGGAGCTGACAGTTCCACTGAGAACAAGTTGCCTCTGGATGACCCATGTGCATTAAAAGCAGGAGATTCATGTTGCAATCATAAAAGGTTAAATTTAAAAACTAAATAATAGGTCACTTTTGTAGAATGATACTTAATTCTTAGTAAATATGTAATGTGTATGCCATGAAATACTTGCATGTTTGTACATGCAGATAAAGGGCAATTCTACATTGTCTCCGTGGTTGCTCCCAGCTGTTTCTTGAGCAAATCACAGAAATTCCAATCCAAATTGTAGTGGATTAGCAATGGGGTTGGGATTCAGTTTCCCAGTGCCAAACCTATGGAAAACTGCGGTCCTGCAGTCTCCTCACAAGGAGCAACTGTCTGAAGCACATGTGTCTACTCATCAATTGTTTGGTCTTTGCCATGGTCATCACCTCCAGCTCCAGTTTATCCACATGAATAACTGTTTTATGAAGTTATTACCAATATCAGTATAAGACTATAGATATCCCCCCAGCTTGTATTTTATTTCAGCCACACATAAATTCCTATTAGAACAAATTCATCTCTCTTTATTCTACATCAGGGGTGTCAAACTGCAAGCCCACAGTCCGGATGCATCATGCAGATGCTGCGCCCACCCCAGCTCCGGCAAGGGGAAAAAAGTCACGATATGTCGCAACACGTCACATGACCTAGCAAGTTTGACACCCCTGTTCTACATAGTTGCTGTTGCAGTCATTACACTATATGTTGTAGATGACTTCTGTTTTTTCCTTCTGGGGCTGCTGTGTGTTTTGGTTTATTTAGGATGTTTTGGAGAGATTTAGTTGGCTTGTGTGCTATGCTGATGCCATGCGGTTGCAATAGTCTGTTGATGATTTCGGAGTTGTTTTTAATGTATGGCAGTGTTATTTCATGGCTTGTGTTGGTTATGCTATATTGGATTGAATGCCCAGGCAGAATTTGCATGGATATCCATTTTGTTGCAAGATGTTAAACAGATTGTCTATACAACATCTTTCAACAAAACGGATATCCATGCAACTTCAAAGTTCTCAGGTATGAGAAGAGCTCAATGGAAGTTCTTAATTGGCCTACAGTTTTGTTTGTCTTCTATAAATTGATTAGTCAAATATATAGTCTTATGCACAGCCTTAAGATTCTTAACTATAATACAGTATTTGTGTACTTGAAAATGGGGAGAAACTTATGTGCTGCTAATATTTACAGCTATAAGGATACAAGGATTTGTTATAAGAATATTCTGTATTGAAATAAAGAGACTTGAAAACCATATATTATTTGGGCGTTTAAAATTGTTTTATAAGGCATAAAATCTTGATTGTCAAAGACTGAAAGAAGATATCTCCGTAGACTCAACTTTTGCCTTCATCTGCAGAGACAAATCAAGGAAACCAAATGACACAATTATAGACCATACAGTAGTTATTTCCGTGCTGTCTGTTATTGAAATCAATATGATTTACTTTTTATTTTATTCCATTTTATTTTCCTTTCTTTTTGTTTGGAACCAATTAATCAGACACTTGTTTTAAAATCTGCTTGGCAGTCATGGAAAAATGGATTGATAACCATCAAATAAAAACAAAGATAAGAGAAGAAACTGCTTGGTTTTTTGAAACATAATTCATGCAGTAGTAGTAGTAGAAAATACAGAAAGAGTGCAAGCAACCTTGCAGAAATAAAAACATTATAAACAGGATTTGAAACAAGGAATAAGTATCAGAAATTCAAAATCAGGACTGAATTTTCCTAGTAATATACTTTCCAACTTGCATGCAAAGACAGGATTTGGTTCTAACTAAAGAAGCAGATAACTAGCTTTATGCCATCTCAGCTTCAGGTCCAAAGTGGCAAACCAGCACTGCAACAGCAGGGAGTTTCCTTTCATTGCAGACACAACTTTCTAATCTAGTTCAGTGCTTTGATCACAAATGTTATGGAAATGATGTCTTCTGACAATAAGGTGATTAAAAAAATCTGGGTTGGAAGTGTCATTTGAAGGACAAAGCCTGCATGTTTGATTTCCCACCACTAATTTTGGCTTGGTTTAAATAACCTGATTATATCTCAGTTTTCCTTCAGTGCCATTAGAATTTCACATTTTGAAAATGAAACTCATGGAGACATATGATCAAAGTTTTGCTCTGGAAATTTGACAAAGAAAAGTAATCTGGTATTAGCATCTTTTAAACAGTCAAAGAAACAGAATTTTATTTATAAAACATAGAACTGGAAAAATCAGATGAACTTTAAGAATCCCCATTGTTATTTATACTAGAACTACCATTATAAAGGACAGTTCTTTATTTCAGATAGTTGTCCTTTGAATTAATTAATTACTTATTTTTTTGTTTCCTTTATAAAGCAAAGTTATAAATATAAACAATTAATTCTTATATTCTTAGGAACCACTTTCATATTTGCCCATTAATCAGGTTTGTCCTTTATTTTCCCCCAAAAAAATATGGTCACTGTAATATATACATGACCTTATGCATTTGTTTATGTTATCAAATGAATATATATCAAATGAAAGCATGGGTCATTTTTTCATCAACATAAATAATGTGCTTATACTTTTGTATGCTTCCTTGCCATTAGTGCAATTCCTGAGTGAACTAGTTCTGAAAAACAGCAGGAACTGCATATTTTTTTTTTCCTAATGTAACATTTGTTCAGATCTATCCCTCATGGCTGTACATATTGTACAATGGGATACTCCTTATCAGGAAGACAAGTAGAAAGTTTCTTTAAATTTAATTTCTCTCAAATGAAATTGAAGGATACAAATAATATACATTTTTGAATAAAAGGAAGCAGTGTTGTGTTTTGGCTATCATAGGGAACTTAAATTGACCTTTATTCTTTTCTTCCTTAAGGAGTCATGTAATCAACTGGGAATATGTACATATCTGGTAAAGTCATAGCAGTAGCAGCAGCAGCATAAAGATATCTATGTTCACAACGTTTTACAATTTAGATGAAATGGGTTTCTGTTCAAAGGGGCTTATAATCTTAATACTGGGGGGAAAACGGAGGCTACATCTCACAAAACACTTACCAGAAAGCACACCCTGATGAGGTTATTTCTCTTCGCTGTAAGCTTCTCACAAAGTTTGCCTTTTTCCTAGGCAGTTGGGCATATCTCCAAAGAAAGCTGCAGCTACTTAGCACTTTTATTTGTGAAATATGCTTTGAGGGCAGAGTTGTTCTGGGAAACAGAGCTGATGTGACTTATGTCATTTATTTTATTAGCTATACATATCTGAAAAAAAAATCAAATAATAAGCAGGCTGGTGAGCATCAAATTACCACCTCTATAGTGGAATACATCACCTAGATTCTTGTGAAATAAATCACTTTGATAGAGTGCCATATTTTGTGGTCCAAAGGAAATATGTATGCAATGTTTTGTTTTTTTAAAAAATATACAAATTATAATTCAAAAAACATTTTAGAATAATTAAATACATTTCAGAGTTGTATTTCTTACCCATTACATACACACACACCCCACACATACACACACACACACACACACACACACACACACATATTAGATGGCACCTGACTATCAGATTTAATAGGACATATATTTAATTCAGTACTGAATTAGGTATACAAAGTAAACAATATAATGCAAAATTTTTATTTTTTTTAGCAATGAAGTATATTTAAGACCTGATTCTAATATTATGGTATTTAACTGATATGTAGGGACAATGAAATTAAAATATTCTGTATTTTTCCCTCATGTGAGTTCTTAACAAATTATTTTCCCACCTCAGGCAACTAAAAACTGATATTTATTCTTAACAATACAACATTAAAGAAGCACTGACAGAAAATACCTTGGCAATGTACATAGAGATGTTATCCAAACTTGGGGCTTTCTAAGTAGGCTTTACTATTGAGGGTCTAATCATTGTGTAGATCTGCTGGCTGAAGCTGTCTGGGTTTTGTTTGGATGTAGGCAATTTCAACAAAAGATCCATATATAAACTCCTTTCTGGTTGAAGGCAGAAACATTGTTATTAATTCAAATGGACATAGTATGCTGATGGCTGGATTTTAAGCTGTTGAACTTTAATTGCATTTCATGGGGGAATTATAGTAATCATGATATGTGAACTGCAATATTCAGTATTTAAAGAGCTACGTGTGCTTTTTACTGTTTGTATAATATCTGAATCAGGTTTGTTGCTATGAATTATTTCTATCATGAAGAATGAACAATGTTGTAAGCTTCCCAGAATTGCTTAAGGGGGACAACTATATAAATCTTGAAAATAAAAATAAATTATTGTCTATTTATTTAGTAAAAGAAAGCAGCAAATATAGTCTTAGAATGGAAGAGTGATGATAATAATTTGATGGATCTACTTTTCCCCATTTAAGTGGGTCTACATTTGATCTGCCAGAGATCTTAAAATTTCTATATACAAACAACAACACTTCATATCAGTACTAAAAGCAATAACAATAATGGCTTAACACTGGAGTTTAATATGTAGCTACTTTAGTTTTGAAGAATACAATTATCCTACCTCTCCTCTCTGGAGCAGCTGCTAAGCATTGTCAAATATAGCTGACAAGCAAAAGCATATGACAAAAATAAGGATATCCAAAGAGGAAATGCAGAATCTCCTTTCTTGTGCATTTTCTAGGAGACTGGATCAGAACACCTAATTGATTGGATGGATTTGAAGGTGCAGCACTGGTAAGCAGGAGGGTAAGAGATATCAGTGGCTTAATATATGAAACAGAGGAAAGAGACAATACAAATGCTGGAAAATCCAAGAAATTCCTTGAAGCCTACAGTGAAATTGTAAAAAGTTCTGGAAGAAGTACTTACATAACTAGGCTGACTTTTTTGCTTTATAAACTATTGAGTGAGCTCATGTGGTTCATTTCACTTTTACCTAGCAACTGATAATTAGTAAGTAGAATGACTCTGTTAATCCTAAACACTGTATTAGTACTTCAATTTTAATACTCTTGGCAGAGTTGGAAACCAAAATGCACATTACTTTATGAAAAAATATGATCCTGTTCTGAACATACACAAGGGGCAATATTTTTTTCTTTTTTAAAAAATAATTTTATTAAACTTATCAAAGAATAAAATACACATTAAAATAAAAATAGCTGGGAAAGAGAAAGAATGTAAAGTAAAGAGGAAAAAAAGAAAGGAAAGAATTGACTTCTGACTCTTTTTAATGCAGTAGAGTAAAATAATAACATTATAGCCTCAACTTTTTACTTTTACATATTTAATATGCACTATGTACTCCAGACAGACCAGAAGACAGCACTGGACTGCTATAAATAAAAGCTTGCTGGTCAAAATAATACAGATTTACAAAAAAGTTATCATGTTGTAATTAAAGTCATAATGCTGACTGACTTTCTGGGTCTGCCTGTTTGTCTGGCTATGAAAAATCTGATATGAAAACATACATACTACCATGCTCCTTATAGCACCAGAGGATTGTCCAGTGGAATTGCAAGTATATAGCCCCATAATAAAATATGTTAATAGCCTGTGATTTTGGTGGCTTTAAAAAGTATGGAGGATGCATTTTTATAAATATTGGACATAAAATATAAATGGAATTTCTAGTTGAAGAAGCAATGTTTTCTGAATACAAGTTGCTGGAAACAGCTATAAGCCTATAGGATTACTCCATAAACTCCCCACTACAATGCCTCCAAAGGATCAAAGATCTAACCACAGACAAAGATGAAATCATAGTCTAATTTGATGTCATACCACTCTTCACATATAGTCCCATACCTTGCAAAATAATCCATAACAACACTACTCCACAGCACACTTGAACTAACCAAATAGACCACCTTATCAACTTTTGCCTAACCACATATCCAGATTAATGGACAAATATATCAAAAAATCAAAGGGACACATATGGGATCACCACTTTCAGAATTCATAGATAAGGCCATAATCTACAGCACTCCCACACATACAGACCTAAGTTTGGATCTGGTATGTATATAGGTGACACTTTTGTCATGATAAAAACCAACTAGAGAAAACACACACAACTACCAACAACTTCTTCAAAGGAATAAAATTAACAAGGGAACAAGAAAACAACAACACATTCCCCTTCCTAGATATCCTCATCTGGAGAGGTAGTGCTGGCATATTAGAAATACAAGTCTACCATAAAACTACTCACACCAACCAAGTGCTCCACTACCAAAGTAATAACCCAACCATCTTCAAGAGATGCTATGTAAGAAAACTGTTTAGACAAACAAACACACTGCAGCCCTGAATATCAGAAAAGTAAACAGACCATCTATACAATATCTTCCAACAAAATCGATGTCCATTTAACTTTATCAAAATGCCTGATCATTCAACATAGCCATAATACAACCAATATAAGCTATGAAAAAGGTAACGCTGCCTTATGTCAAAAACATCTCAGAAACCACCAACAGACTATTACAGCCACATTGTATCACCATAGCACACAAACAAACTAAAGCCTTCCAAAACATCCCAAGTAAACCAAAAGGTCTAGCAGCTCCAGATGAAAATACAGTAGTCATCTACAACATACAGTGCAAGGACTGTGACAACTACTATGTAGAAGATTGGCAGAGCACATGCATGAACACCAACTAGCAATTAAAAAACATGAAAAGATACAGAGTTTGGATATAGATAAGTATTTACAAGAAGCCCATTTTCCTAAGCTTACAAATGATTAACGAAATGAGATTAATGGCTTAATTACTTCAGAGGAAATTATTATGGCTATTAAACAATTAAAAGTCGGCAAAGCACCTTGTACAGATGGATTGACTGCAATTTATTATAAAACATTATCTGAGGAAATGTTAGAACCATTAAAGGAACTTTTCAATAGTATATTATTGGGTGCAGAGATACCTCCATCTTGGAAAAGGGCGTTTATATTGCTGATTCCAAAAGAAGATCAAGATCTTACTCAACCCAAAAAATTATAGACCTATATCTCTTTTGAATACAGATTATAAAAATTTTTCTAAAATATTGGCGAATAGATTGATGATTGTTTTGAAACAAGTGATTCATACTGATCAATCTGGTTTCATAACTGGAAGATATATGAAAAATAATGTTAGACAAATTGTTAATTTAATTGAATATTTGGATAAATATAACCAGATTCCTGCTGCCTTGATTTTTCTAGATGCTGAAAAAGCTTTTGATCGGTTAAATTGGCAATTTTTGTTAAGAGTAGTAGAGGAGATGAATTTTGGGGATAAATTTTTGCAAGCCCTTAGGGTCATTTATCAACAACAATCGGCTCAAATTATAATTAATGGAGGATTAACAGAGGTTTTTCAAATTGGAAAAGGTACAAGACAGGGATGTCCGTTATCTCCTTTATTGTTTGTTTTAACATTAGAAATCTTGTTAATAAAAATTCGTGAATCAACTACAATAAAGGGAATAATGATAAATAAGAAGGATTATAGGTTAAGAGCTTTTGCCGACAATTTGGTAATTACATTATCTCAACCGATTAATTCAGTTTTAGATTTGTTACAAATTATAACTCAGTATGGGCAAGTCTCTGGTTTTAAGGTTAATAATAATAAGACTAAAATATTATCCAAAAACTTGACTATTAAGGAAAAGGAAATGTTAGTTAGTTTGATTGGTTTTGAAATTGTAAAAAAGGTTAAATATTTGGGGGTGTATATAACTGCTTCTAATGCAAAATTGTATAAAAATAATTATGAGACATTATGGATTAAAGTGCAGAAGGATTTAAATGATTGGAAAAAATTACAATTATCTTTGTTAGGGAGAATTTCTGCTGTTAAAATGAATGTTCTACCAAAATTTCTTTTTTTGTTCCAAATGATACCTATTTTGAAAAAAGATATTAATTTAGATGAATGGCAGAAGGGTATCAATAAATTTATTTGGGCAGGGGAAAAACCAAGAGTTAAGCTTAAAATTATTCAGGATGTACGTGAAAGGGGAGGACTTAAGATGCCTAATTTGAAATTGTATTATGATGCTGCGGCTTTAACATTGATTAGTGATTGGATTAATTTAACAAATCAAAATATGCTTTCTTTGGAGGGATGGGATTTAATATATGGATGGCATGCTTACTTAATTTATAATAAGAAAGTAGATAGGGCTTTTAAATCCCATATTTTAAGAATTGCTCTACTGCGTGTTTGGAAGAAATATTATTATAGATTAAATTATAAAATACCAATTTGGGGGATTCCTGGACATGCAGCAGAGGGGATATCAAGAGGTGTAAAGTTGGATAGGATTTCTTATAATCAGTTGCTTAAATTGGAAGGGAAGGATTGGCAATTAAAATCGCTAGATGAATTGAGGCAAGAAAATATTGTTCTCCAGCATGATTGGATGGAGAACCCACGGATAGGTTGTCTTAATCTATCTGCTCCAATTAGACTAAGTCTGAAATTTAGTACCGCCCCTTCTGTGCCAACTGCACCCCAGTTTTAGACTTAGTCTCTTTGCTCTAAGACACGTTTTTTTCTTCGCTCCTGGAGCAGAAGACTGTGTATTTCCCCTTTTTCTTATTCTGTTAACCTAGCTCTAACTACTCATTTTTCATTATTTAATTGATTTCATTAATTAATTTCATAATATAAAGAAGATTTCCAGCGATTGGAATCATCCTCACCTGACTGCCCGGCCGGGCTGACAGGCTGGGCATCCATAGACCCTTTTTTTCCTCTCCTCTTCTGAGAGCTTCTTTGAATTGCTCTAGTCTGACTTTTACAACTGACTGCAGCTCCGGAAGCTCCGAAACTTCACCGAGGCCTGAAGGCCTTATCGGGCCTAGGCCAGTCTCAGCGCCTCTCAGCTGACCATCCAAACACCCTCCGCTGCGTTAGGAGCCGAGGCGATTCTCTGGAATGAGGGCTCATCGCAGCTTAGGCCTCAGGCCTCACAGGCCTTCCTTCCAACGGCCGTTTTTGGCGCGCAGAGCT